TATACTAAGCAAATTTCCTAAATTTGCTTGTAACGTAAGTGAACTATAATTTATTATTTTATTATTATACACGGCCGATTCCCACAAGGGGGGTGGCCCGAAAAGAAAAAGTTTCACCATCATTCACTCCTCCCCTGTCTTGCCAGAAGGGTGCTTTAACTACAGTTTTTAAACTGCAACATTAACCCCTCCCTTCAGAGTGCAGGACTGTACTTCCCCTCTCCAGGATCAAATCCCCGGGCCCGCCGGTTTCCCTGAATCCCCTTTATAATGTTTTCTTTGCTCACACCCAACAGCACGTAAGTATTAAAAAAACCCTTTGTCTCCATTCACTCCCATCAAACCGCTCACGATCCTGCTGGAAGTCCCCCCCCGCAACACAAAACCCCTTTACCCTCCCTCCAACCCTTTTCCTAGGGCGACCCCACCCCGCCCTTTCCCTTTCCCTAGAGACGATTCATTTGAAGTCATTCTGTTTCGCCCATTCTCTCTACATGTCCGAACCACCTCAACAAACCCTTCCTAGCCCTTGGCAACAGTTTTGGAAAATCCGCCCCTCCTCCTAATTCCCAAATACAATTCTCTGATTATATTCCCCACACATTGCCCTCAGCATGACTCCCCATGCCCCCACCCTTCTCCTCGTGCAACATTCATCACCCCCCTTTCACCCATATAAGAGCTTTGGTAAAACTACTCTCATAATTTCCCCCTCTTTGCCCCAAGGGACAAAGTTCTTTTTTCCCCACAGCCCTAAGTGCCCCACCCCTCTTTTCCTCATCATCCGCTGACACGTCCACCCCCAAAATATCTGAAAGTTCACCCCTCCATACTCCTCCTCCAATTGATATTCAATCTTTCATACCAAACTTTTTTTTATCCTCAAAACCCTTACCTTTCCTGTATTCCCTTTAATTTTCTTCTTTTGCACACCCTACCAAATTCATCCCCCCATCTCTGCAACTTTTTTCAGAATCCCCCAAAAGGACAGTGTCATCAGCAAAGAGCAGCTGTGACAACCCCCACTTTGTGGTGATTTTTATCTTTTAACTCCACGCCCTTCCCAAAGACCCTCGCATTTATTCTTTTTAAAACCCCCATCTAAAAATTTTAAAACAACCCGGTGACACAACATCCTTGTAAAAGGCCTATTTTACGGGAAAAAATTTCCCTTTTTCCTAAACCAAATTTGGGCCCTCACTATCTCGTAAAAAATCTTCACTCTTTCAGTAACCTACCTCCTACACCACACCTGAAACATCTCCCACATTGCCCCCTATCCCCCCCTGTCTACGCCTTTTCCAAATCCTAAATGCCACAAGCCCTCTTTAGCCTTATTAAATACTGTTCCCTTTTATGTTTCACTGTAAACACCCGGTCCCACACCCCCTACCTTTCCTAAAACCTCCCTTTTTATCTGCTATCCTTTTCTCCGTCTTACTTTAATTCTTTCACTTACCCGGTTATCAACAGACTTATCCCCTATAATTTTTTCCCTCTTTTATCCCCTTTTCCTTTATACAAGGAAACTATGCATGTCTCTGCAAACCCTAGGTACCTTACCCTCTTTCCCTACATTTATTAAATAATTGCACCCAAACCCCTCCAAAAATAATCCCCCCCCTGCTTTTAAAATTTTACTATCCATCAATCCCGGGGCCTTACCCCCCTTTTTTTTACCCACTGCCTCACGAACTTCCCCCCCCACTCACAAATGGCTCTTCCCACTCCTACAAGTGTTATTCCTCCTTGCCCTATCCGAAACACAGCTTCCCCCTCTTATCAACATTTTAAAATTCCCCAAAATATTCCCCCATCTTCCCCAAAACCCCTAAAATTTATTTTAAAAAAACTTCCTCTCCCATTTTTTAAAGCAAATCCTTTGGTTTCTAGGCTTTTTAAATTTTTAACTCACTCCAAAACTTTTTTTTTTTTCAACAAAATTTGTTGTAACATTACCCACTCTCTCATTTGCTCTCTTTTTTCATTGCTTCACCCTTCTTAACCTCTCTTTTTTCTCCCCATACTTTCCCTCCTTGCATCACTTCTACTTTGTAAAAACTTCTCATATGCTAACTTTTTCTCCCTTACTATAGATATGTAGATATAAATCCATATGTATTCCTGTTAACCCTTTGGGGCCTAGTTCCTAGGCCTTTTGTGTATCCACATGCTCTCGCGCTACCGTCCACAGGATGGATATGGGGTGCACAATAAACTAGGCACTTCGGTGGCAAAATCTAATCTAAATCTAATATCAGCCACCAGACACAACATGGTGCCCCGTGGCCTGCTGGCTAAAGCTCTTGCTTCACACGACTGGCGTCCGGGTTCGATTTCCGGCGAGGGTAGAAACAATGGAAGTGTTTCTTTACACCGGTTGTCCAAGTTCACCCATCAGTAAGGTAGGTACCTGGGTGTTAGTGGACTGGTGTGGGTGTCATCCTGGGACAAAACTGACTTAATTTGCGGGAAATACTCAGCGTCAACCAAATCTTCAACTGGGCCACTCAAAACAATATGAAGTTCAACGAGGAGAAATTTCAACTACTCAGATATGGAAAACTTGAAGGAATTAAAAATGTATCAGGGCTGGAGATGCAACATTCCCCCGATGAAAAGCAGGGGTGCCACGAGTACACTGAGAGACAACACAATAAGTGTCCGGGGCCCAAGACTGTTCAGTTGCCTCCCAGCATACATAAGGGGGATTATCAATAGACCCCTGGCTGTCTTCAAGAAGGCACTGGACAGGCACCTAAAGTCAGTACCTGACCAACCGGGCTGTGGTTCATACGTCTGTTTGTGTGCGGCCAGCAGTAACAGCCTGGTTGGTCAGACCCTGATCCACCATGATGCCCGGTCCCAGACCGGGCCGCGGGGACGTTGACCCCCGAAACCCTCTCCAGGTAAACTCCAGGTGTAACAAGGGACTTTATAGCAGTACGTCATTGATGTCAGCTTTGGTCTGTATACCTTGTACATGTACTGGTAGTAAATAAAGATATTATTATTATTATTATTATTATTATTATTATTATTATTATTATCATTATTATCATTATTATTATTATTATTATTATTATTATTATTATTATTATTATTATTATTATCTTTTATTATCATTATTTATTATTATTATTATTATTATTATTATTATTTATTATTATCATTATTATCTTTTATTATTATTATTATTATTATTATTATTATTATTATTATTATTATTTTTAAATATTATTATATTATTATCATTATTATCATTATTTTATTATTATTATTATTATTATTATTATTATTATTATTATTATTATTATTATTATCATTATTATCATTATTATTATTATTATTTTATTATTATTATTATTATCATTATCATTATTTTATTATTATTATTATTATTATTATTATTATTATCATTTTATTATTATTATTTTCATTATTATCATTATTATTATTATTATTATTATTATTTATTATTATTATTATTATTATTATTATCATTATTATTATTATTATTATTATTATTATTATTATTATTATTATTATTATTATTATTATCATTATTATTATTATTATTATTATTATCATTTTTTATTATTATTATTATTATTATTATTATTATTATTATTTTTTATTTTTTATTATTTTTTATTCCAATAATTCAAGAAACAGCCTTTGAAAATTGATTACCATCTGGAAAATCTTGTTGCTAGATGATTTCAACTTTAGACATTTATAATGGAGGAATGTGTCAAATAATGTTTCAGAAGAGATCACCCAGGAGGCAGCAGCAGCTCACATGAAAATTTACACATGTATGAGCTAATAAATCTCCGGTGGCCTGGTGGCTAAAGCTTCCGCTTCACACACGGAGGGCCCGGGTTCGATTCCCGGCGGGTGGAAATATTTCGACACGTTTCCTTACACCTGTTCACCTAGCAGCAAATAGGTACCTGGGTGTTAGTCGACTGGTGTGGGTCGCATCCTGGGGGACAAGATTAAGGACCCCAATGGAAATAAGTTAGACAGTCCTCGATGACGCACTGACTTTCTTGGGTTATCCTGGGTGGCTAACCCTCCGGGGTTAAAAATCCGAACGAAATCTTATCTTATCTCCTTCAACCAGCAATTAGCGGAGCCAACAAGACTGGAAAATACACTTGACCTTATTTCCAGTATAAGACCCCTGGCTGTCTTCAAGATGGAGCTGGACACACATCTTAAGTCAGTATGTGACCAGCCGGGCTGTAACAGCCTGGTTGATCAGGCCCTGATCCACCGCGAGGCCTGGTCATGCACCAGACACGGGGGTGCTGATCCCTGGAACACCTATTGTCTTCCTAGACGTGGATCATCTAGTTGATGTCTCTCAGTGATATAATCTCTGTTACTTGCAATTTAATATTCTTTCTTCATGTCTCGAATTTAGGCACTAGACGGTCCCCTAGCCCAATGATTCTGTCATTTTAGAACTGCCAAATGGTTCGACCCCCCCTCTGTTCGGCGAGGTGTTTACACTTTACTGCCAGGTAAGTCAGGTATGTAATGAGGTGCACCATCCCCCCAATGAAAAGCAGGGGTGTCACTAGCACGTTAAGAGACCATACAATAAGTGTCAGGGGCCCGAGACTGTTCAACTGCCTCCCAGCACACATAAGGGGGATTACCAACAGACCCCTGGCAGTCTTCAAGCTGGCCACTGGTACGCACCTAAGTCTGTTCCTGATCAGCCGGGCTGTGGCTCGTACGTTGGTTTGCGTTGACAGCCAAGCAGAACAGGCCTGGTTGATCAGGCGTGATTCCACAGGAGGCCTGAGTCACAGACGGGCCGCCCGCGGGGGGTTGACCCCGAAACTCTTCTCCAGATAACGATATCAGATAACAGGTTGACCAGTCTGGCTGGTTATGCATCGAGCAGGGACAATTAGGGAACATCCCGATCTGTAAGAAGAGGAAAGGCACGATACCACAATCTTATCAGAGAAGAGGTAGATACAAGCCACATGAAATATTCTCCCTAAACCTTATGACCTACTAAAATTTTTATCAAGAGATAGACAGGAGTTTAATTGGCGACTGCTGTGCGCACACACAAGGTCAGTGGTGGTGGTTGGTAAATTTAACTTCTAGTTATATATATTTATTATGAACCTCATATCGTGTTTTCACGGTCGCTCTTACGTGCTAGAACTTTAATTTGTGTCATCAATCCTATACGATACATCCCTCTAGCGCCTGGAACCAATCTTGGGCGGAAAACATTACATTCTGAGTCAAAAAAAGAGAATTAGTGTGCACTACTAGCCGAGTTTACTGCCTGAGGGGAATCATAGGCCTGGGTTGCTCCGTAGTGAAAAATAATAAGATAGAACTTTTCTTTGTCAAGGAGGAAAGAAAGTCTTCCCCGATAACATTGAGATAACATAGTGTATGGTGTATACTAACAGTGGCTCCCTAGTATTATTGATGATAAAGGCTAAAGTGCATTGAAAACGGTGCATTTGTAAATGAAGTGATAAGCCTATAGAGGCAGGTGCCAGAAGTCGCCAGAATTACCACTGGTCAGCTGTTTAATAAATCTTTCCTGGCTTGCTAGTGTACTCGCATATAATCTAGTGATACCAGTGCATAGAGAATACAGAGGTTTGTAGTAGCAACTAACCAGTATTATAATTGTACTTTAGTGGAGTGGAGTATTTCATTTAGTTTCTTTTTCTTGAAATACCAGAATATACTGTTAATTTCATATAACCTGTTAGTTACCAGCGGTCGCAATATACACAACGAGAAGCAATTATTTTTACTACAGAAAAAGCGGCTTCCTCCAAATTTCCACCGTCAATATAGTGATAATTATAGCATTTATTGTGGTTTGGAGACGGAAAAAAAAAAATAGAGAAGCTAATACAGCGATGATAACAATGGTTGAGGCTCGGGGCACCGTTCGTCACTGTAGGGCTGCCAGAAATCACCGGTTTCATCAACTCGCAAGTTAAACTTTTGTAATCAATCAAATCACTATAATTACTCGGGTAGATATTTCAAATAAGGCCATCATGTGTTCGCCAAATCACACCGGGTCTGTGACCCGGCCTCCTGGTGGTCAGAGCATGATCAACCAGGACTTTACTGCTGGCTGCAGAATCCAAGTACGAGCCACAGCCCGGTGGTCAGGTTTACGACTTTAGGTACTTGTCCGTGCCAGCTTGGAAGACTTGCCCAGGGGGTCATTTGGTAATCCCCTTATTGTTATGTGGGAGGCCGTGAAACAGTCTTGGGCCCTGACATTATTGAATTGTCACTTAACGTGCTAGTGGGACCACCCCTGCTTTTCATTGGTGGGGATTGTTGCATCGTCTGCCAAAGTCTTTTGCTTTCGTTGAGAGTGTTTTTCGTGTGCAGTTCGGTACTATCCCTCTAGATTTTCCTCGTGTATATCATCAGTAATCTCTCCCTCTGCGTTCCAGGGAAATACGGTTTAGGAACTCAAGCGCTCCCGTAAATTGAGGTGTTTTATCTCCGTTTATGCGCGCCGTGAAGGTTCTCTGTACTTTATCTAGGTCAGCAATTTCACCTGCCTTTGAAAAGATGCCTGTTAGTATGCAGCAAAAAGTGACCTTGAAGAGTGTTCAACCTTGGGCTTGGCATCCCTAGTTTTGAGGTTCTCATATCCATCCTGTAATTTCTCTAGCAGCTGCCAATTGATATTCTGTTACGGTCCTTGAAGGTGAGATCCTCCCGACATGATCACTTCCAGGCTTTGACGCTGGTTTTTAGCTCTATTTTGTGGCCGGAAGTTGTTTTGTACTCTGATGAAGTTTTTGATTTCCTCGTGTCTACCATCTCGGAGTATTGAAATTTCTCATCGTTGAACTTCATATTGTTTTCTGCAGCCCACTGAAAGATTTGGTTGATGTCCGCCTGGAGCCTTGCAGTGTCTGCAATGGAAGACACTGTCATGCAGATTCGGGTGTCATCTGCAAAGGAAGACACGGTGCTGTGGCTGACATCCTTGTCTATGTCAGATATGAGGATGAGGAACAAGATGGGAGCGAGTACTGTGCCTTGTGGTGATGGTGGTACCAGTGGTGGTCAAAGTGGTTGGTGGTGGTGATAATGGTGGTGGTGATGGTGGTAGTAGTGTTGGTAGTTGTAATGGTGGTGGTGTTAGTGATGATACTTGTTTTAGTGCTGATGGTAGTTGTGGTTGTGGTACTGGAGATAGAAGTGGTCATAGTGGTAGTGCTAGGTGGTGGTAGTGGTAGTTATAATGGTGATGGTAGTAGTAGTGGTGATCATAGTTTACCTGGAGTTTACCTGGAGAGAGTTCCGGGGGTCAACGCCCCCGCGGCCCGGTCTGTGACCAGGCCTCCTGGTGGATCAGAGCCTGATCCACCCAGGCTGTTACTGCTGGCTGCACACATTCAACGTAACGAGCCACAGCCCAGCTGGTCAGGTACCGACTTTAGGTACTTGTCCAGTGCCAGCTTGAAGACTGCCAGGGGTCTATTGGTAATCCCCTTTATGTATGCTGGGAGGCAGTAGAACAGTCTTCGGGCCCCTGACCACTTATTGTAATGTCTTTTAAATGCTAGTGGGACTCCCCTGCTTTTCATTGGGGGAATGTTGCTGCATGTCTGCCAAGGCTTTGCTTTCGTTGTGAGTGATTTTGTGTGCAAGTTCTGTATACTGCAGTGGAAGGAACCACAGTCGATGGCTCCACTCCAAAAACCAACAGATACAGATACTAATGCCGGAAAAAAAATTCCCCCCAGTACCACCAATTACACCAGTCGATGACATTCTTTTTTGCAAAATAAGGGTTCTAAAACCAGCAAGGACCAATAAAATACCCTTTCATCCGTGGAACTAGTTGCAGAGGCAAATGCAATGTTCGTGGCTTTCTCAGAGGCCACAATGAAGCTCACTTGGGACAACGTAAATATGGTTCCAGGTTACAAAGGTTAACAACCTATACAGATGCGACAGTGTGAACGCAAAAAGGGGGAGGGGTTTAGCTGTATATCGCGAATCACGTGTTTGATAGAACTGTAATGCCTCAAATGATGAAGTGAAGTTTTAGCAGTAAAGATCGAAAACCAAAACCTAGTCCCATTGTGGTAGTCTACATGCCTCTGGATGGGAACGCCCCAGCAATTCCAGGATCAGCTGTTAAAAATTGACCACTGTCTGGAAAATCTGCCAGCTCCTGCCCCAAAATCTTGCTTGGGGGATTTCAACTTAAGGCACTCTAAAAGGAGGAATATAGCAAATATGGTTGTGCAGTGATAACTCCAAGATGCAGCTCTTAGGAGAATTCACACACACACGAGCTTTTAAATCTCTGCACAAATTTCAACTTAAACAGCACATAATAGGCTACTAGATGGGAATACACTAGACCTATCTGCACTCAACAATTGATGATTGATAGGAAATGACACCATATCAAAAACTATATACGTACTCAGATCACAACATAATGAGGTTCTGACATGTCTATACGCGGAGCTCCAGACCCAACATTAATGAGATTCAATTCAAACTTCAAACTTCAAAGATAATTCTTAAGGATTACAATGCTGAGTTTACAGAATTTGGTTATTGTGTGGTTTACATGTAGTTATAAAGAATAAGTACAAGTGTACCTCTAGAAAACACCTAGCATGTCTAGGCATTTCAGGCAGACTTAAATTAAATCTTAAGTTTAAAACTATTACAAAAATTATGAGGTAATTTGGTATTATGGTATGTGACTAATACTAGTTTGTGAGCATTGCCGGCTTACCCACATGGGGGCAAAACGAGGAAATTTGCCTCGGGCCCCGTTGCATGTGGGGGGGCCCGCGGTCCAAGGGGTTCAGGGGCTCATCCAAGACTGCGACCAGGTGCAAGGGTGCAATGGGGCCCCTACCTTAAAAGTTCAAGTTGTTTGGAGAGTAAAATTGATTTTTAAAAAATAACCAAACAAAATAAATAATGAAATAAAATAAAATAAAAAAAACCTAACCAAGATGGCAACACTCAACACGCCTTTGTTTACATCAGAAACAACTGTGTTTTCCGCTAATGGGTGAGTATGGGAGACATCCTCTCCAAATTTTCTGTAAGTTTATATGATTTTGATAGTCTTATGCAATGATGCAATGATAACCAATACTGGTCAGTGATTGATAAAGGGAATAATTAGTGCTGTAGAGGTTATGCTGAATTTAATAGGTACCTGATGTACCTACTTTAATAGCTAATCTCGTAATACAAGTAATGGCTGTGGTCTTGAAGTTACTTTCCCTATTTTAATTTAATCTAAATAGGCCAGAATTATTTAAGTAGACTTAAACAGGCCTCACACCGACCCCCCTCCACCCCAAGCTGGAAGGGGTCCGCTATGCTTACCAGTAACTCAACGGGGCCCCGCAATCTGACTAGCCTCGGGCCGAAAGAATTCTTAATCCGGCCTGTTTTCAAATTCAAATTTCAAATTCAAATTCAAAAGTTTTATTCTCAAATTCAACTTCAATAACAAAAATTTAAGTGGGGACCAAAAGAAAACCAAGTCCAAACCGATAAAAGCGGGGGAAGAATACTAAGCAAAACACAGACCCCAACTTATCCTAAAAGTTAATCGGTGGCCTCATGTTTGCACAAGGTTATTCCTCTAAGAAAAAGGAGGAGTAGATGTAAAAACAGAAAAGAACAGGCGCTCCCTTTACAGGCGACAAAAAAAGAAAAAAACAGAGGGGGTTTTAAAAAAGGTAAAATCTAAAATGCTAGGGAAACAGGTCAGAGAAATGCAAGCATGAACTTAACTAAAAATCCTTTGGGATCAAGAATGCGGAAGAACAAAAAAGCCAAATGAAATCGAAAGAAACCCAAAGTATTTCTTCTCCTTGCCAAACCCAAAAATCGAAACAACGCCCAGTTTGGGGGCCCCTACTTAAACAAGATGGGTCCACACAGATGACAGAAAGGAAAAATGAGTGAGCTACCAAGCCCCAATAGACTCAGTTTTTAGCAAGCCGCTAACCAGACTGAGAGTGAAGATAAAAATTAATTTTTAGAGAGAGCAAAAAAATTTGTTTAAACAAAGTTTATC